TCTTTTTCAGTTTCCTTTGCCTTCATTTCTCCATCCTCTGTAGTATTTTCTCCACGACCATTCTGTTCGTCTTCTCTGGACTCAATTACTAAATCTGTGCCGGTCTCTCTTGCTTCAGTATCTACTGTTTCTGTCAGGTCATCATCATTACCAATATCAGACTTATCTGTATCAGACTCGATCAATCTCCGCTTTCTTGTCATGCTTTCACAGGTGAGGTGGCTGCCCGATTTCCCAGGATTTCATTCAGTCTGTTGTGAAACTTGCATAGTTTTCGGCCTTTGCCACTGTTTTTTTAGCTGCTTGTTGCACTCTCTAAAGGATCTCTTTAAAGTATGCTTGCGGATCTTGCATTGTGCGCTAAAGCCCCGATTCTGCAATTCTGATGACAAATGTTCATATATTGCACCTTTGTTCCGTTTTTGATCGTCCAACTAGTCTTCTATGTTTTCATCACTCCAAACGCCGAGAAGAGCCTCGGTTTCTTCATCAGTCCAAGAACAACTTCTTATATTTTCTGGTTCCCATTTTACCTCTGTTCAGCCTGTAAGCGACTTGGCCTGTATACATGTTTTGAATGATTGCCTGATCTGAGCTATTAACAGAGATCCTGTCATATATTGCTATTTTTAGGCACGATAAAACAGTTTTGCGTACTTAAGCAAAAGTATTTTGCGTTCACATGGCACAAAATATACTCAACAACAAAAGTTCCTGTGACAGCAATATTTAAGTGTATTTTTCAAACAAGTAAAGTTTGGTTTTCAATATAGTAGTACATGTATGGAATCAAGTCACAAAAACGCAACTGCTACAGAAAAGCATGCATTCCATGCAAAAGTTGACTTTAATGCAAGCCCCATGCATTTCACTACCCAAGAATGGGTATATAAACGTGTGCTTTAACGGGATTCCATATGCATTGTTTAGCATCGTGCTGACAACAACCACTCAGAAAAACAACAAAATAACGCAATTATTCAACATTACGAAATGCCACGCCTGTCCGAAAATGAGTGTCTGCCAGCCATTGGTATGCTTGAAGCAAGATCGAGTCAATGTCGAGACAATTTAACGTCCACAGAAACACCATTTGGTTTTATGGCCACGCTGGCAACAGACGAATGCAGTCAGAGACCATCCTCGGAGTGGCAGGCCACGCGTAAACAATAATCGACAAGACAACTGGATTCGAACAAAACACCTACGAAATCGATTCCAGCCAGCAACAGTGACTGCAAGAAGCATCCCTGGCCTTCGACGAATATCTTCACAAACCGTACGTCGTCGCCTCAGATGTGCAGGGATTGTCGCCAGAAGACCCGCCAGACGTCCCATTTTGACAGGAAACCACCGTCAAGCACGTCTACAGTGGTGCAGACAGCGTCCGGGGACGTGTACCGACGTTGAGGTGAACGTAACGTCAATCATTGTGTCATGGAAGAAGATCGGTTCGGGGGTGGCAGTGTTATGGTATGGGGTGTACAGAGGACCCGTTTGATAGTGGTAGAGCGAAATCTCAATGGACAGCGCTACCGCGACGAGATCATCGGCCCTATTGTTCTACCGTTTTAGCGTCGTCATGGCCCAGGCTTTACCTTTCAACATGACAACGCCCGGCCTCATATTGCTCGACTTGTTCAGGATTCCCTTCAACAAAACAACGTTAATGTCATCCCCTGGCCTGCTCGCTCCCCTGATCTCTCATCAATCGAGCACATGTGGGATGAGATGGATCGGCGCCTTCGACGTCAACCACGTGTTCCACAGACACTCCAGGAACTTCGAAACATGCTCCAGCAGATATGGACAGATATCCCACAGGACTTTGTGAGACGCCTGGTCCATTCAATGAGACGAAGATGTGTTGCTTGCATCGCAACCAGAGGTGGACACACATGCTATTGATTTGTAAAGTGACATTTTGGCATGTTCATGTTTTTTTTTATGAAATCACGCGTTTTCTGAAGCCAGTGTGGCAAGTTAAACCATTTGAACACTTACAGGAGTCTTTTATCTGTTGCAAACCGAAATTGTTTCAGATTTGGTAAAAAACATAACTTTGCATTAAAACATATTCAATGTCGTAGGAACTTTTGTTGTTCAGTATACATACCATTTGTAAATATACTTATAAGTATATATACTTTTGCATGACCTCTTTAGGTCATGTAAATATACATCCAGGAGCAATGTTACGTATGTAAGTAAATGCGTTCACATGACCCATTTGCACACCAGGAGTAAATTTACTCACATATGTAAAGATACTCACATGAGTATCAGCTGGCATGTGAACGGGGGTATGACATGAACATAGGATAGCAGCGTGTACCTGTGATGTCACATCCTCTATATCTCCAGGGCAAGTATTTTGATAAGCCTACACTAACCCCTGGATGCACTCACGTAGTTCCTGCCCTTGATTTCCATTTGTCTGTGTTATTGGCTACACTACTAGGTCTAACGTACCAATCAGAATGTGAGTTACAAACCAGCCTCAGCGTTGGGTTGGCCAGTCCCCTTGATTTTGATTGAGGTTGCTGATAGAAAATTTAATAATACCAACTAAAGTTTAAATTTGTTTATGTTGCACTATCCTACAGATTTAAGAATTGTATAACAATGCCAATGTTAGAAATAAGCTCCATAAACTCCATACCTCTCTCCATGTTAAGGGGCGGTCGGGTAGTCTAGTGGTTAAAGCGTTCGCTCGTAACGCCGAAGACCCGGGTTCGAATTACGACATGGGTACAATGTGTGAAGCCCATTTCTTGTGTCCCCCGCCGTGATATTGCTGGAATATTGCTCACCCCTAACATACTAAAATAGCATTGTCAATATTGTGCAACCAATTCGGGACACAGTGAAGTCCATCAAGTACATGACAATAATATCGTCTTGGGACACTATACACGACTACACCAAGAACACTTGTCACTACAAGAGAAGAGTTTCAGCTAAATGACAAGTAATATTGTCACATAGGCAAAAATTTCCATTCAACCATGTACATGGTGCTCCTTCATGTTCTATTGCTTGAAAGATGAGGGTAAACCTTCCTACTTTTGTTTGTATAGAAGTTAGATCAACAGTTGAAGTTAAGTTTTATAAGAGAGCAAATGATAGTTTTCAATCGAACTTCGCTCAGCCAATACTAATACTACATCATCGAATTCTAAGTCTACCGTCTTGGTGTTTTCGTTTGCTGATTAACTTTTATTATTCAAAAGCAGAGCTTATCCCATTAATGACACTTTTTAGGCCAGCCCTCTACACAAAATTCATGCTTTACAGTATTTGTATAGAATATGTAATGTAGATCAACCGCAGGGGGAGTAGAGCTGAGAGGGTCGTTGTCGTCACGGGTACTACAACTGGACAGAGGGGACCTTCCCTTCGCTCACCAGTTAACCGTAACCACATGGTACACATGGGGACAGGCTTGGCACAGATGGTTGGAGAACTGCAGGGAGCTGAGGGCAGTTAAGTTGATGGTACAGCCAGATAAAAGAGATCATGTTACAACTGCAAACGCTAATCCCCCACGTACAGAAATGCAAGTTGAAATATAGAGAAATCGCTCAGATGAACAATGCTATAATTAAGCACATTCGATTGATTATCATGCCAGGACTGGTTCTGAAGCATGTGACACACTAGATAGCCATAGATAAGAGGCTACACCTGCTAATGGTTTTGTCTTTCCCGTGACACATATATACAACATACAGAAGTATAGTATTCAGGTCACTGTATGTACTCTTAAGAAAAAGTAGGGGATAATAAAGTAAAAACGTTAAGACCAAGTATTAGAACAACGATAAGTGTTGACAACAAACATCCTATATGCAAAAACTAAACGTTTTATGCCTGTAAAGCATAACACCAAAACACATCCTATAGTTTGCACGTGCTGCACGCAGTAACGCCACTCACGTGCCTATGGTGTCATTCCCCACTTTGACACTTTCAAGAAAGGTCGATTAATCTCTGAGGACCCTCATTATTGTCAATCTTATTGATTCTGCTTATCATACAGTTGTGATTTTCTTGATTTCATTCATTGTTTGTGAATGAAATAGCGATGCGGCGTCTGCAACGCGCGGAACGTCTACGAACAATTGGCATGCGGGAAACTGGCAGAAGTTAGCGTGCAGTGGCCAATACGTGATTAGCAGACTATGCAACATGTACCAACAAACCCAAATTGTTGGTGATAGACCCCGCTCAGGGCGTCCCAGGTCAACAACAAAAGTACAGGATCGATTGATCCGAAACCTGGCTCTACGAAATCAAACGGCGAATCAAATGGCTGCAAACTTTCATCAGGCTACTGGAGTACAGGTCAGACGATTAGAAATTGTCTACATGCACCTCTTCTCCAAGCTCGTCGGCCACGTGTTGTGCCGTCCAAATCTTTATATTGCCAACGGACGTCAATGGTGTACAACGTCGAAACTTGGGTAGTCGTGGATGGTCATGTTTAAACATGAGTTCCGATTCACTATGCACTTCCTTGATGTTCAATGGTCTCCCGCAGCAGCACAACATCCATAGAATGTCATGGCCAGCAATGAGCTCAGATCTTTTGCCCTTTGAACACGTCTTGGACATGATAGGCAGACGCGTGCGTCAGTGCCATAGGCCGCCGACCACGTTGGCTGAATTGGGACAGGCCATGTAGGAGGAGTGGGACAGACTTCTTCCAATCGTCATTGGGAGACTCATAGGCAGTATGGCTCGTCTAGTAAGTCGTGGCAGTATTACGCTTTACTGATCCAAAAATGTCAACTTTGAAAGTTTCCATCTCACCCCTCAATGTGGTTGGCGGTCATAACATCTACCGTCATACTTCACTACCGGTTGTAATGTGTTCCCAATTCGTTCATTATTATCATACAGCTATTGTGACAGATACAACATTGTACATATTTATTTTATTCACCTTCAGTATCTGCTTTTAAGTGTTCAACTTTAAACATAAATCATATAGTTAAGATAGATTAAATGTAGTTAATATGTCCTTCATGTTGTAAGCCTTAACAAACCCAAGCCATGACGTGCTCAACTGATTGGCCAAGCTAACCCTCAAAGTTGACCCTTTGTCTCACTGCATGTTCTCAGTCTGCACACATTTCCTGCACAGACAAGTTGACAGGTGAAATCACCTAAAATCAGGTTAGTATAATATATATGTGTATACTTGTATGTTATTGCAGTTAAATGTTGCAGTATATTAAACCTATAATATTAAACTTACCTAAACGTGTTTAATATTATCATATTCTCAGTTACAATCTATTTAAATAAATGTGGTAAACAAGACTTATAAATGTAAGCTTTGGTAATTACTAATATATCACTTTTCTGTCTCTTTATTCTTGTATGTATGAGGAAGAATGTATGTGTTGTTTTATGGAATAGGCTATGTTTTAAATGCTTTTGTGATCAGTTATGTATAATATACAGTCTGTACTATACGGGATCCGGAGAAATATTTTAACGTGTATGTAAATAGTTGTATTAGTCATTGTTATAAAAGTATATGTTTTATTCAGATATCCGGAATTATAAGTTGCGGCGGTAGTCAGGAAGACACCCCAGTCTCACCCACAGGGTAGGCACATAATAAATGTATAGTCAGTTTCTATATTTGTGAAACACATAAGTGTATCACACCCGTAAAGACATGTATATGTATGTATTTTTGAAAGAGATTTATAATCTCTTTACACCTAGTTAATATATAAATAATTATTCTATTTGGTTCTTACATCAGTTAACAGATCATTGTACAGTGTAACAACTAATATATGAAGAAGATGTGTTTGTAATGTAAAATGGTTTGTAATACTGTGATGTCGATGATTGCATTATGTATATTGTTAATATTACTTATCATTCCTTTTAATATGTTTCAGGGTGTATATCCTAGATATATATAAATATGACAAATCCATTGGCCGAATAAACGTCTCTCACCCGTAGCGTGTGTTTGCCTATCGCTCATTCACTGCCCTGCTACAAATGGAGCCCCCAGTGAGGACTATAGTCGCCATGGAAGGAACGACATAGATCGCCAGCAACATCCACTTTTGATGATTTCTTTGAAGTGACCTTTGTGTGACCTTGGACACTGTCACGTGACATTTGTGTGTTTATTGTGACTTTTCCAGTATTGGATAATTGCTACTTCAGCTTGGACATTCCATTCAATTCATGGACATTCTGATCATGTGAGTCCCCATCATGTATTAATGCATTGTATAAAGGTTACATCCTTTGCTAGCTAGCATTTATTTTAAATTTACTTTGTACCTGGCGCCAGTTCAATTAAGTTGTGTAAACTGTGACTTTGTTTACGTCACATATTTTGTATTTTGTTCATGTACAAAGCTTTGTATTACAGTAGACTTCTTTGTCAGCTACTTCTCATTATTCTGTTGGTACCAACATTATCTACGTAGCTACAGGTTCTTTATTATATCATGTGTTTAGTTTAGTTTAGTTTAGTTTAGTTTAGTTCTGTTTGGTATTGTTAAGTTTAGCTTAGCTTAGTTTATTTTTGTATAGTTTTGATTTAGTTTACCATCAGCTTTTAGTTAGTTTACTTATATAACGGTATTCAGTGTGTATGTGTGTATGAAAATGGCTTGATTTCATTTCTACTTTCTCTTCTTGTTTAATCAAATAAAAGGTTAGCAAATAAAATTTAATGGTATAAACAACATGTAAGCTAAACATGTCTTAATTTACTGACTGTATGACGACAGACTTTTGCACTTTCTTTGAACATTTCACATTTTGATACTAACATCCCCTTCCACTCCCTCTGTGTTGTATGTAGATTTAGTATTTAGTCACTTCCTTGGTTTGTAAATACACTTTGTAAGTATTGTATTTTCAACTTGGGATTTGTCGTATGCCTAGCATTATATTCAAGTATATGTACACCCTGTCGTGTGTGCACTTGTGCTGCGTTTCTTTCTTTTGAACGCCATGATATAACGGGAATACTGTTTAAACCGGCCTTAAACCTGCCTTACACTAAACTCACTCACTCTTTTTTTTGTGTGAGTATATTATTACACTTTGCCGTCACACGTGCTATTTGGGAGGGATTGCCTTTCAGCTTAGTTTGTGTATTAGTTGTCTGAACTAGACATTCCACTTGTTTGTCTTTGTTTGCCCTAGTAGTTGGTACAGGTACTCTGTCATTTACTTGAACTCGCATTATCCACTCCACTACACACGTGTATAGTAGATATTTTCTATTTTGCGTTCTCAAAGCTGTATTTCTGCAGGATTGCAACATGTGTCACGTTGCTTATTTCAGGCTTCGGTGCATGTGTCCTTAGTCATACTCATATAGTTACATGCCAGTGTGACCCTCTATATCACTTGGTACTTCCTACACACTCACCACGCGATTAGTGTTTCACTCATTTGACTTCCTGGTACCCTTCGATATTCCCTCTTTACCTCGTTGGCACATGGTCTGCTTTTTGAGCAGTTGTGTTTGTTTTCTCTGTCTACTTCTGCTGCATTCCTTGACCATGGAGTTCAAGGATGAGGAGCTGGAAGGCATGGCCACACTTTTTAAGAAGTTGGGTATGCAACCGAAGGCTGACACGCCTGAGGATTTTAAAGCCTGGATCAAGGACATGTATTCTCACCAAGGCCCTCTTACCGGGGAATATGAAGAGACATCTGGACATCCTACTCAACCACAGACACAGGATGTTAAGCCCGTAGCTGTAGCGTACCATCAGTTCCCTAAGCTGCCATTGTTTAGTGGAGATTTTCAGGGCAAGGATGTCTCATTTGACCTTTGGACTTACGAAGTGGATTGTCTCTTGAAGTCAACAATCTATACACCAGATGTCATGGATCAGGCCATCAGGCATTCCTTGAAGGGAGAGGCAGCCAGAGTAGCAATGAGGTTAGGATCCAAGGCTTCAATACAGGATTTACTGAACAAACTCTACAGTATTTATGGAACTGTTCAGCGCAGAGAAGCTCTCTTGGCTCAGTTTTATAGCGCTTCCCAGGGTGAAGTTGAAGATGTTGCTACATGGGGATGCCGTTTGGAACACTTGCTTTCCAAAGTCACGGATCACCACGCTATTCCTTTTCAAGAACAGGATGACATGTTGAGGAATATGTTGTGGAGTGGTCTTAGGCCATCATTGAAGAATGTGTCCGGCCATAAGTTTGATTCTGTCTCCTCTTTTGATGGACTCAGGATATCCCTGAGGGAGATCGAGTATGACATGAAGCAAGGAAGAGATCCAACACCATCACCTAGGAATAGGACTGCTACTGCCAAGATGGCCTCCGATTCAGATACAGTGACGAGGAAAGATATTGATAGTCTGACTTCTGCTATCCAACATTTGCAAAGTCAGGTTACAGATCTGACGACCAAGCAACAGGGGACAGCCTATGCCTATCAGCACCAGGCTATCACCCCAAGTCAACAGAGGGGCAGACGCCGAGGCAATCTGCCATTTACCTCTCAGGAAGTGATTGCACCACCCCAAGGAGCTACCCCATATGGATCCTTCTCACCCCACGGCTTGGATCAAGGACCAGATGATAGAGTCTACGCACCACAAGGTATTGGAGCTACCGCAAACCCTTACTACAGAGGTACAAGAGTAAACCACAGAGGACAGGGACCTACACTTCCTACATCTGGTGTTCAGATAGGTGCACAGAGGAACCCGTATACACCACCACCTGAGAAGGATTATCCTTATTCTACTAGGTCTCAGGAAGTTACATGCTTCAGATGTGGTTACCCAGGACACATTGCCATTGGATGTCGAGTTCGTCTGGACCATCTTCGTCGCCCTTTAAACTGGCAAGGGTCTATGGGCAGGGGTCACCACTAGACTTACTTCAGAACCCCAAACAGAGTACCTGAAGGATTAGTTGGTCAAGCAAATGAAGATAACATCATGCTTGATGGTAAGCCAGTTCGAGCTTTACTTGACACAGGAGCCACAGTGTCCATCATATCTGAGTCCTTTTATGAGGAACAGTTACAGCACATTGAACTGGAGCCACTCGGTAATATTTTGGACATTGAGTGTGCAGGTGGCGAGACTTTACCATATAAGGGGTTTATTAAAGTGGATGTATCCATCACTGGAGGAGGTGTTGATGTTGATGCTGTTCCATGTTTATTCCTTATAGTACCAAGTACCAGATACAGTGCCCGTGTACCGGTACTTCTAGGAACTAACATCTTGAACTGCTTATTGGACAATTGCCGGAACCAGCATGGAACTAGGTTTCTACAGAAGGCCCCATTGCACACCCCGTGGTATTTAACCTACAGGACTATTGTGCTTGGAGAGAAGGAACTGGAACGAAACAAGTGGCGACTTGGACTTGTGAGAAGCGCTGAAGACAGGAATGTCATGATCCCAGCAAATGGTAGAGTTGTAGTGAAGGGTCAAGTAACCAAGGGATTGAGGACATCTAGACTTTGTGCTCTTCTACAACCAACCCCACAGGCATCCATTCCTTCTGATGTCGACATAGCTCCAACAGTCATCACTTATGACAAGGACAGCCCAGGTGACATCGAAGTGCATGTTTTCAACATCACCACCCGTACCATAGTTATACCTCCCAGATCCTTACTCTGTGAACTTCAACCAGTGACTCTGCAGGATGCACCATGTGGTCGACCTATTGATGAGAAGACTCTATTGGAACAAGTGGAAATAGAGAAAGAGAGTTTGACTTCTCAGGAGATAGAACAAGGCCTTGATGTTATCTTGAAGTTCAAGGACATCTTTTCCAAGAATGAAGAGGATCTTGGGCACTCATCAGCTGTTCAACACCGGATTGATCTGACAGATGACCATCCTTTTAAGCAAAGACATCGTCGAATACCCTCAGCCATGTTTGATGAGGTCCGAAGTCACTTACAACAACTTTTGTCTGCAGGAGTCATCCGAAGTTCACACAGCCCTTGGGCATCCAATGTTGTCTTAGCTAGGAAGAAGAATGGAGCTTTAAGGATGTGTATAGATTTTAGACAGCTTAACAACCGCACCATCAAAGATTCTTATGCTTTACCACGTATCGAGGAGCTGTTAGACTGTTTAGGAGGCATGACCTATTTCTCTGTTTTGGATATGAAGAGCGTGTACCATCAGGTTGAGATAGAGGAGAGCCATAAGGAAAGAACTGCCTTTACTGTTGGACCATTGGGTTTCTTTGAATATAACAGGATGCCATTTGGTCTTTCCAATGCCCCAGCGACTTACCAGCGACTTATGGAACAGTGTCTCGAGGGACTCCATCTGAAGATCTGCCTCATCTACCTCGATGACCTTATAATCTTTTCCAAGACTTATGAGGAACATGTTCAACGTCTAGAGATGGTTTTCAGAAGACTCCAGGAATGTGGACTGAAGCTCGCGCCAAAGAAGTGTAAATTCTTCAAGCGCCGGGTGAGATATGTTGGCTATATAGTTTCTGCTAATGGCATCGAGGCAGACCCAGAAAAGGTTGACAAGATAAAGAACTGGCCTACACCATCAACTCCTGAAGAAGTTAGGAAGTTTCTTGGATTTGCTGGTTATTACCGGAAATTCGTGAAAGACTTTTCTAGCATTGCAAGACCTCTGTCTGAACTGATGCCAAAGTGTGCCAAGAAATCCAGGAAACAAGCCACAAAGACTATGATATGGAAGTGGGGTCAGGACCAAGAAAGAGCCTTTGAGGAGATCAAGACATGCCTTTCATCCCCTCCCGTTTTAGGGTATGCTGACTACACAAAGCCCTTCGAGCTCCACACAGATGCCAGCACTCAGGGTTTGGGAGCAGTACTGTATCAGCATCAAGATGGCCACCCACGAGTCATAGCATATGCAAGTAGGGGATTGAAACCTTCTGAAAGAAACTACTCTGCACATAAACTGGAGTTTCTGCGTTTAAAGTGGTCAATTTCAGAAAAGTTTCATGACTATTTGTATGGTCATGACTTTGTGGTGATGACTGACAACAATCCCTTGACGTACGTTCTGACCACAGCTCGATTGGATGCTACTGGACACCGTTGGTTGGCTTCTCTAGCCAACTACAACTTTACCATCCAGTACAGATCAGGAAAATCCAACATACAGTGATCGCTCCCTATTGCGCTCTTCGATAAAGCGCTACTTCGGTTGTTACGCGCGGTAACGCATGGCTCCCAAAATTTATGTACACTTTTAATACTGAGAGTTTTACACAGACATGATTGTATTGTTGTTCGTTGTTTATTTGCACATAACGCTTCTCATTGCATAATCAACGGTTTATCGCTGAATGGAGTTCTAATAATCTGTTTGAAAACATCCGCGGCAGGTCCCGGAAATACGATTGTTCTACTAGTTAACTTTTCACACTATACATCCTTTGATCTTAGAAGCGCATGCATGCAATAAAAGAGAACCACAAGCGAAGTTCACAAAAATCACAAGTTAATTAGTGGGCAATCCAATTTGAGGCGACACTGTCAACTCACATTAGTTACTGTCACAACACAACGGTCATTCCTTTTGATTCGGATCAAGTAACCGTATCAAACCAATTAAACTGGCTTGACATACGTTACTATATATAAAGTGAATTTATCAGATCAGGGGCATTCCAATTTCAACATGAGGAAAGCGTACACAGTGCAAGAAAAGCTAGACGTTGTGAAGAAAGTTAAAGATGGCGCTTCACAGGCCAGTGTGAGCCGCCAGTCCGGCGTTCCAGCGGGGACCATCAGGGGGTGGATAAAGAATGAAGAAAAACTTCAGACAGCCGCCGCCGAATGCCACGACAGCAAAGGACCGCAGACGAAGAAGATCCGTGGAGCCGACGACACCACTCTGGACAAGGCCTTGTTCGAGTGGTTCACACAATCCAGACACGATGGTATTCCCCTTTCGGGTGAAATACTTAAGGTCAAGGCCCAGAAGTTGTCGAGGCAGATAAACGGGGACGACGACACCTTCAAGGCAAGTGATGGCTGGTTGTGGAGGTTCCAGCGACGTCACGGTATCAAGTCCATCACCGTCAGCGGGGAATCTAAATCTGCCGATGTTGAATCTGCTGCGGCATATCCAACGATACTACGAGACATTATTGACGCGGAAGGCCAGCAAGATGAGCAGATTTACAACGCAGATGAGACTGGCCTATACTATCGGATGCTCCCAGACAAGACTCTCGCTGAGAAAAATGACCCCAGGCAGAAGACAGGGTTCAAGAAGGCCAAGCAACGTGTTACAGTGCTGCTTGCTTGTAACAAGACCGGACGCCATAAGTTGAAGCCACTTGTTATAGGAAACCGAAGAACCCCCGCGCCCTCCACCACGTGAACCGCTCTACGTTGCCAGTGCTCTACCAAAGTTCAAAGAATGCGTGGATGACGGCATTCATCTTCAAAGACTGGTTTTTTAAGAATTTCATCCCCGCCGTACGTCATTACCTGAGACAACAAAAACTCGCAGAAAAAGCAATCCTGCTTTTGGATAACTGCCCAGCCCACCCCCCTGCCTCAACGTTGTCTTCACACGACGGCAAAATCAAGGTCGTTCTCCTGCCGAAAAACACAACGTCACTAATACAGCCCTTGGATCAAGGTATTATAAAGGCCTTAAAATCCCACTGCAAGAGGAAACTCATCACCAATTTGCTGGATTCCGCCATGCCCCCAACAGACTACATAAAGACAGTCACCATGAAGGACGTAATATTCACAACACATTACGCATGGAGTCAGATTACGACAAGCACCATTGACAATTGCTGGAGAAAGGGACTGGGCAGCGCCTTTGATGAAGATTTTCTCGGCTTCACAGAAACAGACATAACCGAGGCTGTTGCGAAGTACAAAGACTATGCCGGTGAAGAAGCACTCGATGTCGATCCGACTTCGGTTGAACTCTGGGTCGCATGCGACAATGACCTCCCGACCTCAGAAAGCAAATCCGATGACCAGCTGATCGAGGACGCCCAAACAAGTAGCGATGATGATGATGATGATGAAGAAGATGAAGATGCTGAACCGTTACAGCCGCCTCCCGGTGTCCCCCGACGTACAGCGGAAGAAGCGTTAGCCTGTTTGGAGGTTTCGATACAATACATCCAACAGAACCCCAATAGCACGTTCAATTCTACGACCTTGCTCCACGCAAAACTCCTCAGGGATATGATGAAGAGGGATGTTGTTAAGTCAAAGAAACAGCAATGCATAACAAATTATTTTAAATGAGAGATCGGACAATATGTTATTATGTACAATGTCAATGTAGAAACCTGACATGTTATCATCTTATCTATTTAATGTTGTTGTATGAATGTACATGTATATCAAATGCAATATAAATGTATATAAATGTATCTATTTCTGTATAAATGGGTATCTAATTTTTGTTTTGATAATATATATATTTCTGTTTAAACGTACATTGTATTTAATATATTTGTGTGAATGCGCACATGTAATAAATTCTAGTGCTGGTCAAAACTCTCGTTTTCCATATTTTAAGCAACCTGACCAATCAACACCACTGAAACACTCCGTGCTTGTATAATGAATTGTGATTGGCCCTTCACCCATAGCGTCTGTTACTACCATTATCGATCGATATTTACATGTAAGTAGGCTAATACATGTATCACGTTGAATGTGACAGTTAAGGCTTGTAAATAATAACAAACGACGAAAACACAATGGGAATATCTTTATTTTTACACTATGAACAACCTGTATCATTGCAATGTGCGATACAAGGCGAAGATCGTGAGATTGGTCGAGCGCGCTCCCCCGCCTCGGCTTCGGTTAAACGGCTCACCGTCTATAGCGCCCACCAATTATTTGGACCCCATTGGTAGCGCAATAGCGAGCGATCACTGTAGATGCTGATGCCCTGTCCAGATTGCCTCAAAGAGAACATCAAGTACAAATGGAAGAGGTCAACAAGGACTCAATAAGAGCAATCTGTGAAGTTTTACAAGTGTCAAGTCTTGTTGAAAGTTTGATTCTATCCACCCCTGACATAGATGAGCAAGAAGAGATAACTGAAGACAGATGTGAGTTTAATGCCAGGGATTGGAGACGAACTCAATCAAAGGATCCAGAGATTGGTATCATCATTGATCATCTCAGAAACAGGACTAAACCAGACAGGACACATTTTATTGGGAATCAAGAGATGACTACACTGTTGAAAAGTTTTCAGCACTTTCAGCTAAAGCGAGGTGTTTTGTATAGAGTCATCAAGACAGAGGGAGAAGATCAAGAACAGTTAGTCCTTCCAACAAGATGTAGATCGGCCGTATTGCGAAATCTCCACGACAACGTCGGGCATCCAGGGAGAGACAGGACCTTGTCTCTCATCAAGGACAGATTTTATTGGCCTGGGATGACCAAGGATGTAGAGACTCATGTTCAACGATGTGTGCCATGTCTGCGTCGTAAAACACCAACAGGAAGAGCTCCATTGGTCAGTATAGAAACCTCACAGCCTCTAGAACTGGTCTGCATGGACTTTCTCACCCTGGAGCCATCAAAGGGAGGACAGCAACATGTTCTAGTTGTGACTGACCACTTCACCCGCTATGCCCAGGCCTATACTACCAAGAACATGACGGCCAAGACAACAGCTGAAGTCTTCTTCAACAATTTCATTATACATTATGGGATACCTAAGCGTATTCACTCGGATCAAGGAGCAAACTTCACTGGGAATCTCATGCGAGAGTTATGTCAGCTTCTGAAAATCAACAAATCCCGGACCACACCATATCATCCAATGGGGAATGGAATGTGTGAACGTTTTAACAGGACTCTCTGCAACATGCTTGGTACTCTTGATCCAGATAGCAAGAAGAACTGGAAAGCCTTTGTTGGACCATTAGTACACGCATATAACAGTACTCGCCATGAATCAACCGGCTTTGCACCATTCTTCTTGATGTATGGATGTCATCCACGTCTCCCGGTGGATATAGCTTTTGGACTTGACATGGATTCAGCCAAGTCAACATCAATGACCTGTTACATCAAAGACTTGAAAGATCGTCTCACCCAAGCTTATGACATAGCATCGTCTGCAGCTAAGAAAGCCCAGTCCCGGAACAAGAGTTTCTACGACCATAAAGCAAGAGCAGCTGTCATTGAGAAGGGAGACAGAGTACTTGTGAAGGTGGTTGCCTTTGAAGGCCGGCACAAGTTAGCAGACAGATGGGAAGAAGATATTTATGTCATCTTAGACCAACCAAATCCATCCATACCAGTATTTGTCATTGGTAAGGAGAATGGACACGGACGGACAAGAACCTTGCACAGGAATTTACTGCTTCCCATCGGCTCTCTTCCCCAAACAGCGCCAGTGCCTAAACCAAGACGAATCAAGTCTCCACAACCACCACCTAAAGTTCGACCAAGGACGTGTGTAAACCAGACACCCAGAGAAGACACCACAGGCATCTCACATGATGAAGATGATGAACTGGAAGATGGAGAAGATATGGTGTTAGTCACCACTCATCATTCGGACTCTGCAGGGTCAGCTCTTTATCCAGCTGACAGGCCACCTGAAGACAAGCCGAACGAAGATGTTGAGAGTGAGGACCAGAACACTGAAGTTGATGGAAGGGATGAGACTGCAGATGTTGAACAACAGGAACAGCCTTCAGAAGAACCTCCAGTTCCACCTGTGGATGTCCCACCAGACAGAGAACTTGCTGCTGCTGCACCGATTCCAACGGTACCACCGAATCCTCAACCAAGGAGGTCTGTTCGAGAGCGGAGACCCCCAAAATGGATGAGCGGTGGTGAGTTTGCTCTTTCAGCAGTTACTCAACCAGACTGGTTATCTCGAGCAAACTATCTCAGTTCTCTCATAGAGAAAGGATTGCTTGAGGGCCAGCCAAAACGTCTCTCTGATGCTCTACTGGATCTGGTCACAGGGAAGAATACATGACGAGGACGTCATTTCACCGAGGGGGGAAGTGTGTGACAGATACAACATTGTACATATTTATTTTATTCACCTTCAGTATCTGCTTTTAAGTGTTCAACTTTAAACATAAATCATTAGTTAAGATAGATTAAATGTAGTTAATATGTCCTTCATGTTGTAAGCCTTAACAAACCCAAGCCATGACGTGCTCAACTGATTGGCCAAGCTAACCCTCAAAGTTGACCCTTTGTCTCACTGCATGTTCTCAGTCTGCACACATTTCCTGCACAGACAAGTTGACAGGTGAAATCACCTAAAATCAGGTTAGTATAATATATATGTGTATACTTGTATGTTATTGCAGTTAAATGTTGCAGTATATTAAACCTATAATATTAAACTTACCTAAACGTGTTTAATATTATCATATTCTCAGTTACAATCTATTTAAATAAATGTGGTAAACAAGACTTATAAATGTAAGCTTTGGTAATTACTAATATATCACTTTTCTGTCTCTTTATTCTTGTATGTATGAGGAAGAATGTATGTGTTGTTTTATGGAATAGGCTATGTTTTAAATGCTTTTGTGATCAGTTATATATAATATACAGTCTGTACTATACGGGATCCGGAGAAATATTTTAACGTGTATGTAAATAGTTGTATTAGTCATTGTTATAAAAGTATATGTTTTATTCAGATATCTGGAATTATAAGTTGCGGCGGTAGTCAGGAAGACACCCCAGTCTCACCCACAGGGTAGGCACATAATAAATGTATAGTCAGTTTCTATATTTGTGAAACACATAAGTGTATCACACCCGTAAAGACATGTATATGTATGTATTTTTGAAAGAGATTTATAATCTCTTTACACCTAGTTAATATATAAATAATTATTCTATTTGGTTCTTACATCAGTTAACAGATCATTGTACAGTGTAACAACTAATATATGAAGAAGATGTGTTTGTAATGTAAAATGGTTTGTAATACTGTGATGTCGATGATTGCATTTTGTATATTGTTAATATTACTTATCATTCCTTTTAATATGTTTCAGGGTGTATATCCTAGATATATATAAATATGACAATCCATTGGCCGAATAAACGTCTCTCACCCGTAGCGTGTGTTTGCCTATCGCTCATTCACTGCCCTGCTACACTATCACTTAAAACTAATGTCTCTTACAGTTATTGAAAGTCATTTCCGGTTATCCCCTACTTTTTATTAAGAATATATATCTACAATATGATCTTAGTACGTATGTGAGCAACTTCGGGTTTAGCTTACCGTTTTGAGTTACTGTAGCGGGCTATAATCTATTGCTGGTGTTGAAACTGCCTGAACATGGTACTATTTCTTACAGCTGTTATAATGGCGATTGTTTCAGAAGGTATTGTGAGCAGATTATTTTGCCTGTACAGCATCTCCTTATATGGACTAACAGTTTACTATCATCATGATCGCCAGTGTTTCGTTGGTCAACCGGATGTTAAATTTATTTTGAAAGAAAATAGACAATATGATAAATGTATTTTATATTTCCTACTTAAATTGCAACAATGAATGTTATGTTACAGAACTATGTTAGATTCAGAATGCTAAGGATGTTTGTGTGACAGGTGGAGCGGAATCACAAAGCCAGGGCGAGTTTAGCTTTGCTTCCTACTACAATGACCACATGGTACTGCAGGCTAGCCCTTACCCTGCCACAGTGTGGGGCTACTCCAGTCAGATTGGGGACAGCGTGAAGGTGGAGGTGGACGGACAGCGCCCGTGTCCACCACTGTTAGATCCGTTGGGGGCAAGGGAATGTGGTTTGTTAGGTTGCCTGTAGTGCCTGCTGGAGACACCCCCCACAGAGTTACGGCCACATCCTCCCTCGGAAGCATACAGCTCGCCGATGTTCTGTTTGGTGATGTGTGGATCTGTTCTGGACAGAGCAACATGCAGTTCACGCTCGATATGGTAATGGATGGATGGATGGATGGATGGCGTCACTTAATACAAGGAACTTGTTGCGCATTTTAATGGCATGGAAAATAAACTTAGCTAAACATTGGATGTTACGAACATTTTCTAATGCAGGGATTACAAAGTAGGCAAAATCTCTCACATGTGGAATTGTTAAACTTTCTGCTTTCGGAAATCATGAGACCATAATCTGAGCATCTGAATTGCGAAAGGGCAATTCTATACAGTTAAATATAAAAAAAACTGATATAGAATTTTTTTCAAACATGTTATTAACTTTTATGATTCAGCATTGACTGGAACTAGAATATGTCTTAAGACT